GCAGAACAAACCAGCCTCTATTCAGCAGGAGTGGGCTGGACCAGGCTAAAAAGTAAAATAGATGCCAACAGTATGTCTTCTGGGAAGTCACTATGTCTTGTGGTTTGGTTAACACTTTGGTTTATGGATTTGTGATATAGGATTTTTGTGAGAGTGCTGTTTTTCAGGATTTGCCATGCGAGCACTGTGGGAGCATAAAGCATGGCAAGGTGACCAGCTGGCAGAGCAAGTAAATCCACCAGTAAAGTCCACATTGGGAGCAGACTTTGCAATGTCACTGCTGCAAGGTGCAAACTGCCATACAGTTCTACTACCACAGATATTCTGGCTCAGGACAGTGACTATTGTAGGAAAAAAAAAAAGAGGAAAAATCCATTGCACTCAAGACTGGACCTTAATATCACACATACAGGTAAGAACTGAAGCGAATAAAATATGTTGGGAAGAGCAATTAAAGATATGTCACCTGCATCAGACTTAGCAGAACAACTCCCAGCACCTTCACTCTGGACCAAACAGCAAAAGGCAGTTTACTGCTGGTCAGACAAAAAAAAGCTGCTTGAATCCCAGCGATAGTGAGCTGCAGTGAGTGAACCACGGACTGAGCAGTGATTAAAAAGAAAAGCTTTTTTAAACTGTGGATTTAGCTAGCATTTTTAAAACAACATAGTTGCCTTCATTGTGCATTTCTGTATGACAGCCAGTATGCCGTCTGTGACCACAGCCCATGGAGAAGTTGTCTGTGTTCATGCATGCAGAATTGGAAAAATCACCTGTCAAAAAGATACGATTTCCCTCAAACAGCAGGTGATCAGCATTCAGCAACAACCCTGCCTCGGCATGAAGCCTGGTAGGAAGTAAGAGTGTCATAGCAGAGAAATAAGATAATTGAAAAGCAAAATGTTCCAGCACTCAGGACTCCTTCTGCCAGTCTCTCTGAACTAAACCTCAACAACTGACTGGCAGACGGTGTCTGCCAGTGTCTCTCTGTGAATGGAATAGGTTGGCCCTGACTCTCTTCAGAAAGTGAGACACATCAAACAAAAGACAACAAGACTTATCCTCATTTCAGCTCACAGCTATTAATTTTACGCTGTGACTCCTCTGAATAACAGATGCATAGCCAGAACTATTCCCGGATTCCAAGTGATGGGTGACCAGTTTCCAGCACCTTGACTACTCTAATTACACTGACAAGCCTCCTGAAATCTCTACTGTGCTCCTTCAAGTGAAACAAAAATGCAGATGATCCTTAATAGTGTCTGCTGAGCTGTGAGGAACGAGAGGATTAATTAGTTGCAGTTCATAAGACAATAATATTAAAATCCATGAGTAACTGCAGAGTGCAATTGGCATTAATGATGCAATCACTGCAGCACACAAAGAACAGGATTGGTCTCATCTATTTCACATCTGGAATGAAATGTATTTGTTGTATGTAGATGTTGGGTCACAGGTTGGATGGATCGTATCTCCGCTGCCCTGTGCAGCCACCTGCTTCACCTGTGCATTGCCATACTGGTAGAGGAGCATCACTTTCACATCTCTGGGGCGCTCCAGCCACTTGCAGGTCTGACCTGGAGCATCCTTCCTCTCACTGGGAAGGATTATGTCTCACTCTGCTCTTTGGGCTTGTGAAGTGTCCTGTGGAGGAGAGGTGTACAGTAGACGGAGCAGGTTTAAGCCTTCCCTTCCTCAGCCCACCCTGGCCTTGTGCAGGGTCTCTACCATCAGATGCAATGCAGTCACACAGCTGCTTCCCCACAGTCTGACCAAACTTTGGCACTCACTGGCCATTGCCCAAGGACAAAGGGTTTGCCACCAACTAAAGGGTGCAAAATACTCTTATGATTTCAGAATAATTGAGAAAATCCAAGCCTCACACCTCAATTTGCTGTATTGAACAGTTTTGACATTTTCAACAATGCTTTTGTCCCCCAAACCATTCTTTGATTTGAGCTCTTTCCCATGCACAACAGGAAGCAATTCCCAGCCCCAAACTCACCATCCACTGTAAGACCAATCTACTGCAAGAGATAAATACAGAGGGGGAGCAGAATACCGCAATCATGGAGAGCATGTGCACAGATTTCCAGTCATCACTGACAGATTGACAGTGCTCAGTCCAGGACTACAAGCTCTGCCTTGCTGTCCTCAGCTCAGCCAGATGAGCTCCCCTTGAGCAGTCCCTCAGCCCTTTAATCCAAACAAAGAAGGAATTCACACTTGCTTTCAGTACTAGGTCTTAGCTGAACTATGCATGTGTAATGAAGTCACATTATATGTTAGTGTGCAATTTCTGACTTTCACAGAATCACAGAATCACAGAATCGTAGGGGTTGGAAGGGAACTCCAGAGATCATCAAGTCCAACCCCCTTTCCAAAGCAGGTTCCCTACACCGGGTCACCCAAGTAGGTGTCCAGGCAGGTCTTGAATATCTCCAGAGAAGACTTTCCAGACTTTCTGCATCATAGAATCACAGAATCCTTAGAGTTGGAAGGAACTTTTAAAGATCACCTACTCTAACTCCCCTACAATGAACAGGAACATCCTCAGACTGGGTTGCTCAGAGCATGATCTAGCTTGACCTTGAATGTCTCCAGGGTTGAGGCACCCACCACCTCCCTGGGCCAAATGTTCCTGGACACCACCTTCACCATCCTCACTGTAAAATCTTTTTCTTTATATCCAAAAGGATGTAAGGACCTAAATATCCAGTCTTTAAGTTTGAAACCATTTCTCCTTGTCCTATTACCACAGACCCTGCTGAAGAGTCTGTTCCCATACCCAGCCTCCCGTCAGCTGGGAGTGATTTTCTGACTTCTCTGGTCAGGATTAGACTTAAACCTTGCTGAGCAACTGAGTTCCCCTAGAAAACTAGCGTCTTTCCTCCAAAAACAATCTGATTTTATCTTTAAAAACAAACTTTTTTTTTCAATTCCAATTATCTACTGACCTTAATTCTTAATATCAGTGAGCCCCTGCAACTGGAGACATTTCATTTACATAAACACTTACTAGCAATAACTTGTGACCAACACAGAAGAACAAATGGGAAAATCCAAAGATCGGCAAGTTTGAAAAGTTTATTGGAGATTGCAGTTGCTGCAGAAAAAGCCACTTAGACAAGAGGGAAACCTTCCCATATAGAGAAGGGAGCAATCCAAGTGCATCATTTCTGATGTCTAAGCATATGGGAAATTCATTGCAAAGACATTATGTTCTTCCTGTTAACTTATAAAAGGAACTGGCATGGGTTCTGTAGTAAGTTTTAAAGCATTACAATTTCTGGCCAAAGCTGAATGCGACCATTTACGCAACTCTTTTACTCTGTACAAAGAGCTGACATAGATTCCAATGTGAATTTGGAAAGATATAGAGTTTTTTATTTTATTCAAGTCAACTAACAGGCATTGTGTAAATATACAGTCACATATTTCCCAGGCTAAAAATGTAGCATCTCACAAGAGTCAATCCTGGCTTCCTCTATAGGGAATGCTGAACTGAAAGTGGCTGTAACTCTCAGCATGGAAACTCTAAAACTTCCTTCCTGGCTTCTCTGTGTAGTTCTATTAGGAGAAAAAAAAGAAAAAAAAAAAAAAAAAAAAGGTATTTGTCATTTAGATTAGTAGCTCAAAACATTATCTCACCTTGATTCTAACCAGTGCCACAGCTCAAAGAACAGTCACAGCGCAAAAATGTCCATTTATGTCTGATTGTTTTAAACAGCTGCATAGTAGAGCTGGGATTTCAAACATCTCTATAGAACCCAAGCACGCAGCCCCTCTGCACAATACAGATTATTGTGGGGTTTTTTTTTTTTGCCTTTAGATAGTGTGACATTTTTAGAATTTGCAATGACATGTCAGTTTGAGCCTCCAAACATGCGACTGTGTTGGTGAATCCTCCAGAGACTTATTCATATATCCAACTTTGTGCACTGACGTCAATGGGACTCCATACAGGAAGGACCAAATGACCTTTGAACATCACTTCCAGTCCTGTTTTGCACTGATCCACCACTGGAAAATTTCAGCATAACCTGAAGTTCTCAAAGCTGGATCCTACGTCACTGAGGTCAGTGACAAGTTGCATTGATGGTGCAGGAATTCCTGCAGGAATAGGTTCCCACTTGGGTCCATGTATCTTAGGAAGCCTTGGAGAAATCACACACTGAAAGTATTTGAACTCCTGCTGCCTTTTCTGATTGCTTCTTCTTGGTCCTTGAAGAGACAGTACTTTTGACCGTAGAGGATGTGTTTTCTGTAATGCCTTGAAAACCTCTACACTAGTCAAGATTCTTGCCCATTACGATATTTCTGGGCCAGGTCTTTGCCATCCTAATGCTGATAGAGAAAACTGGGCATAACAAATAGTGTTTTACAGCAACTTCCTCTCAAATTATACCAAAAAGGCAAAAAACAATCTTCAAATTACCAGATATATTGTGATTTCATTCATGTGGAATGTGGTCAGAACCTGCCTGTTCATCTCCAAGCAGCCTGTGACTCCCAGGAAATACAGGATGTGGCCATTTGGCATCCCTTCTTGGAAATGAGGCATTTCAGTTGATATTTCCATTTTCAGTTGTTATAACAAGTAAAACATCATGAGATCATTCTTTTAAAACTCTACATTGAGTTATTAATTCTAAACATGCAGGATATAAAATACATAAAGACTAGAAAGGGTAATAACTCCACAGAGTTATTTAGTGTGTTCTCTTGAGAATGGAGTACACAGAAGTTGCAATACGCAGAGAGGATTTGTCTGATGTAGTGTTTGCTGTGAATTCATTTATCACAATACACTTAAGTCAGCATGGCAGGAGTCACACATTTATAGCATGTCCATGTTGCAGCACGTGTGCCATCAAAGAGTGCAATAGAAAGAGGAGGAAGATAGTGTAGAAAATGGGATAATAGAAGGGCTTTTCCAAAGAAGTTACATTCATAAATCCATTATAACATTACTGCCAGATTGTTTCATATAAGCAGCTCTAGATATCTGTAAATGTACAGTGCGCAGGTACTGCTTCCAAGGTGATTTCCAGGTTTTCAAGTTCAGTGCTTTTTTCTTCCTGCTCAACCACCTTCATTGAATTCCTACTGCCCTGCGTCACTTTCACTTGAAGGTCATTTTCCAAGGACTCACATTCTTGAGGGTGACATCTCATTGTGCTAAACCTCTCCTGGCAGCATTTTGGATAGCTTTTAAAGCATACAAAAGTATGACTGCCCTTTTCAGAGGGGAAATAAGAACATCCTTCCATAATCGGAAGAGCATTACAGCTGGATTCATTTTTGCCCTTAAATGTTCTCAAGCCAGTGTTGAAAGTTGATCTGTAGGTCTGCAGCTCCTTGACACAAAAGCAACACCTGATACATAACTGTTGGAGAACTGTGAAATCTTTGGCAACGATAGTTCGGAAATTGGGCTTCAGAAGAAGATGGATAATGGGATTGTAGAGAGTGGAAGACTTTGCGAAGACAGCTGGTATAGCAAAGGCTAAAGGAGGAATCTTATCTATCGATCCAAAAGCTGCCCACATGGCAATGATGGCATAAGGGCTCCAAGCAGCAAAAAATCCAATGCACATGGCAATACTCAGCTGGTAGACAAAAAAAAAAAAAAGAGAGAGAGAGAGAAAGCAGTGAATTAAAAAATTGCATGCATGAGAAAAATAGCTGCTGAAATAGTATATGAATAAAACACTACCTGCTTAGTCCTCTCAGTATATCTCAACTGCTCTTCAAACACATATTTGTCTGGCAACTTAATTCTGACCGAGACTTAGTTCTGATTATAACTTCTAGAGTTAAAACATATCAGCTTTTACATTCCATTTCTTCTTCACTAAACTATCACTAAAATACTTATTATACCAAAATAAAATACAGCTTAAAAAAAACCAAAAGATACCATTCTGAGGAAACTTTGGACTGTATTGCAAAGTTGTTTGTATCTACTTTCTAGTTCACAAGCAATGCTAGTTTTCCTGACTAGGGAAAGTCTTCCATAATTTTTTTGTTTGTACTCAACTGGAGTCATGTGCAGACATACAGCAGCCAAAAAGCAGATTAATCATGAAAGTGAATCAAACTAATGAATTTAAATTAACTCTATCTCAAAATTATGTGTGCTACTAAGCTTTATCAAAAAAGCTTGACAAAGGCATTAAAAAAAGTTTTTTGGTATAAATTATCACAGAGATGTGTGAAATGAAACAATAAATATTGGGTTTATAGTAAATACTGGGAAATCTAAAGTACACTGTAAGCTTGTACAGGCAGATGAACATCCAGTGCATCATTGTAAGCCTGTTTTATAAGTGAAGTACATGTACATTTTACAGACAGAAGTAAGAATATTCATGCTTCTGAAGGAGCTTCAGAAGTCCATGTTTGCCGAAAGTACATATTTACAAATGAGGAAGATAGTGGAGAATGTATTCCCTTTAGAGTAATATCAGATATAAAAAAACAGATAAAGGAAGTACTTTTGTTTCAGCTGCTAATTGTGCCACCTGCCTGAGCTGCCCTCTGCAAGTGTGAGTACAGAGCTGCTAACTAACTCCATTAACTGCAAATCTAACACTTTTCTCAGTGAGATTCTGGCTGTAGATTAAAGGTTGCAAAAATTGTAGGTTTTTTGATTGTGAGAGATTGCATGGTTGTACTCAGTGCGAGTCTGAGACGGGCATTGGGAGCTGAACATAATCAGAAGGCACATAAGACTCTTTTAAGGCATAGAAAGCCACTCGAAATGCTATTATTTTCTCCCTGACTTTAGTAGTTTCACAAACTTTATTTTGCAAGAAGAAACGTGTGGCGATTATCAAGAAACATACAACACAAGTTTGATGAGGAATGTCTGTGGTGACTGTTTTGGCTATCAGGCTAAAATCTGTTCGTGAATTTGCATATGTCCATAGGAAATAATTCACTCCAATAGTTCTGTAGAAGAAATTTCCCTTTCATTGGTAGTAATCGCTGGTTCACCTGAATTCCAAAGCTAAATATGGCAGAATTGAGAAACAAGACATTTTGATAGAATAAGACTAGTTAAAAAAAGGCAAAGACATACGATGGGATTAACTTGATTTTTCTTTCTGTACTGCTCTATTTCATTACATTAGCTGAAGGTCTGGTTCTACCTGTGGAAAAGCCAGCACCACGTCGATTTTGTGATTCTGAACTATCCATGGCCAGTATAAAAGGCTGAGACAAAAAGCAGTTTCTGTGGTAAGCAATATGCCTCGGCCCTTTAGAGTCACATTAGGAAGAAATGGATATTAGAATTGATTGGTTCATTTCCCAGATGGCTTATTTATGGTAGCAATTAATCTTCAAGATTGCAATAGGTTTTGCTTTGTTTCTGTGAGAAGGCATTTGGCATGTACTTTTAAGGCGCTCTCAGCCAAGTTCCCCAAAGGCATCAGTACAGCATTTAAAACAAAATGAATATTCATCTTGCATAACTTTGGCTATCCAAAACTTCTGTTCTAAGCCAAAGCCAGTAAAGGTTCTACACAATGTCAAAGGAAAGAGAAAGCAAGTGATATCATACAAAGATATATGTCTAAAATAGAATGTGATGGATGGCTTTCAGGTCTTTGTCACTGTCAAGTTCAAGGATGAACTTAATTTTAAGTGAAGTGCACCTGAACAAAAGGAAACTTATTTGAGATACTTGAGCATATCAACAATGTGTATGCATAGATGCATCCAGAAAGAGACTTTATTACTATTGTCATGCCACATATTGAAATGTCTTGAGTTTAAAGTGCCTGCACAGCACCTGATACTCTCCCCACAGTAAGTATGAGGAGTGGTCTAACCAGTGATGTCAGCATCACTGGTTAGATGGGATGAGATGGTTAGACTGGTGAGATGGAAAAAAAACATCAAGATTTTCATGAGTAGAATAAAAGAGGAGAGTGTTGGTGAGGCGATTATATACAAGAAATACAAGGAAGGATACCTTGATGCTTTTGCAGGCAAATAAACCGACTGTCACCATTGCCACTGCTGACATGCATCACCCACCATCTCACTGTATTCACTTCCACTGTCCAGTCTCCATAAAAGTTCAGCACTGATGAATGTCAGTGGGTGACATTTTTTCCACATGGAAGAATTCAATTCCACATTCAAACTTCTATATCACACACCATTGTGTCAAACTGAGCCTCTGCTGCCATCTGTCACACAGTAACAAAATGTAATGGAATACTGGTGGAAAGGTTCAACCCCTACTGACACATCACCAACATCTGCCCCTGACATACTGGGCCAGCATAATAAAATTGGAGGTATTAGTTTTAGATCAGACCCCATAGATGAGGCAATGAGAAAGCCATTAGAAAAATATTTTTTTCTTTCCTTTCACTTTTACAGTAATTGCTATGTGTGAAACTATTCTTCTGAGAATAGGAAGTCGTTCCTAAGAATTGTTTCTGAAAGGGAGTGTGGAACTGTTTTCAAAATCTGAGATTTGTCCAAATGCATGCTTATAAACAGCAAATTAATTCCTTTGATTCAAATATTTGTATGCCTCAAGGGACTATTACAACCTCTATTTCTTCTTCTGTAACATAATAAACCAGGGAACCAGTGCATTGCTAAAATGGAGCAAGTAGAAAAAGAAATGAGAGATTCACAGGCTAAGTTTTGAAAATTCATGCTGTGAATTTTACTCCTCCCTTTAATCAACAAAGCACCAAATAATAAAAATTAAAATAAAAATGGTAAAATACTGTTACAGTACCATGACTCAAAGAAATAAATCCCCACCTAATTCATATTGATGTCTGTTCCCAAACAAGTCAGTGGGCCTCTTTCCAGTAATCACCCTTCTCTCAGGAACTTGGAACAGACTTTTGGCTGGGCTGTTTTCAAGCAGCCTGGCATTATTTTGTTCACCTTTTGTTTTGTATTTAAGACAGTTTACGATATCTGCTCAACTTCACAGTACTGAGTTGTGCAATATGATGGCAATTCTTCAGCTGTCTTGCTAAAATGCGATTAAAAACATTCTTAATTCTATCCAATTGCCCAAATTATTTTGGTTGCTTTCTATTTTTTAAGTGAGTCTAATCTTCAGCACACAGCTTACAAAAAAGTACATGTAAGTGATAACCCCTCTCCTGTACTCAGGCTAGCACATATTGGCTACAACTCTCAGTAAAAACAATGTGCTAATATAGCATCAGTTTTTATTTAAAATACATACAGCAGCTATGTATCTTCAGTAAAATCCATAGTTCTTGCTTCATAAAACAACTTGGTCACTATGTGGATGGGCCAGTATACAGAATCACAGATACATGCATACAGAATTATGATGAATGAAATACTGAATAAACACAGCCTCCTTTTGCACTGCCCTAGGGCCATTGAAAGCACAAGGGTGAGGAAAATCTGGTTTCTGCGGGGGAGTTAGTGCTAGATTTGGGGCCAGATCCCCTCATGGTGGCTTACACCTGCAGAGCCCATCTAACTCTGGATGCTGCCCTCACCATTTTTCATTAAAATACAAAAGAATATAGAGATGTCACTATATCATTCTTTTAGTGTCCTCTTAGAATACCAGGGAGCTGCACACCCCAGAGCAAGGTACAATAAAGTGTGCCATAGAGAAACAACTACTTATCCAAAGTTTCTGAGAAGCATGAAAAGGACGGAGGATGCTACTCTGAGCCAACTAGCATGGCTGGCACAGAGCACACAGGAGGAAATGCTCCTTGCCCTTTGAGCCAGCCTTTCAGAACCCCAGGCCTGCCAGCTCATCCCTCAGCCACTGCTAAGATGCTTCCTGCTCCTCACAGTGTAGTACAGGCTCTAAAGAGTATAAAGAGTAGTACAGGCTCTACACTTCACCTCTCCCCTCTGCTCACTGAATTTATGTTAGGGTAAGGTAGCACAGAGCCTCAACTCAACATCTGGGTCCTTGAAGACTACACGTGTCACACACATCCAGCCTGGCAGACCAACTAGGCTAACCTCCTTTAGTAGCACCTTCTTCAAAAGCCTGCAAGAGCAGAAGCCTTCAATTGAAAATGGCAAATTGTCTCACTGAGCATTCAGAAAGAAAAAAACAAACATACCAGAGCCCAGATACAAATATGCAAGAGACAGAAGATAATGAGCTAAGCACCAGGCAAAGCAAGAATGGTTCCTGAATGTCAGTCTTGTGGCTAATTAGGATTGCTGCAATAGCCTTGGTTTGGTAGTTCAACCTTGCTCCAGTTCTCAACAGTAAGGGAAATATCAGCCCTAACTTCCAATCTGGCAGGATTTCTCTATACGCAAAAATAATAAAACTAGCCAGCTAAACACTCTGCAGACTGGCAGTTTGTTGACCTGTAAAGCCAAAGTATATTGCAATTTTACCATGCAAAATATCCTGAAGTTACAACGGTAGAATCTGAAAAGCAGCTGACAAAAACAACTTACACCAGAAGGAAAGGACTTAAAATGGTATTCCAACAAGCAGAAGTTTGATAACCTGGGAGATGATTAGAGGCCACCTCACACCCCTGATCTGCAAAACTTCCAAATTTAAAAATAATAATGAAAAAAATTGCCTAAAATACCTGGCAATTTTGGTGGTCATTTAGATCTGTAAATCCTAGGGGTTTTATACTCCCTATAAATGAATTACTCTACGAGAACAGACAAATGAAATCAGCTTTTCCTGGGAGGTCTATAGTATTCTGGAAGAGTTTCTTTGGTTGGTTGGTTTTGGTTTTTTATCTGAGCCGTGTTCACATAGGCACTTAAAAGCACATGTTTTTGAGCTTTCCACTAGTAATTATAAATTTTTATGCCACACAAAAGTAAAAGCCAATCATAAATGTGATTGTCTATATTACCACAACAGAATCTCAATTTCACCTTCTCTCCAAATGAAACATCTGTATTTCATCACAGCAATCCTTGAACACAAGACACATTTTGCACTGCTTTAGTAGGTTAACCATGTTCTCCTATACTTGTCAGAAAGCTGCCTCCACCTTGAATCAGTATATAGCCAAGAGTGTAATTAATGCAACTGTATGTTTGGAATTAAGACTGTGGCTTCACGCAGGTGCTCTCCCTTCACAGTGGCAAATCCAACGTTCAGAAGCAGCACGCTGACCACTAAACCCTAAATGGCTTTGAAATGCCTGCAACAAATTGTGATGTTGCTGCACCTGAAAACTAAGCATCTATTTAAAGTAAAGAAAATCAAGAGAGGGATTGAACAGCCATAACATGTCTGTAACTTCAGGAGTAGGTTTATCCACTGCAATGAAGCTTTCAAGCCTGGGATCATGTATTCTAAATCATAGGTCATCTTTGAAGAGCAACATTTATCCAGTTTTATTTCCACTGCATTTCACACTAAGTCCATAGGTCTCCTCAGCTGTAACTAGCTGCAGTTTTCAAATTTGTAACAGTGGATGTGCTTCCAGTTTCAGTAGAGTGTAACAACCTCAGTTTTTTTGTGTGGTAAGAAATCCTAATGATAAATAATTCAATTAGGATTTTTTTAAAAGTACTGTAGAAGCCCAATTTAAGCCTTCTTAACCTCCAGGATGTGTATATTTTGTTGTTTCTCTGCCAATCATTGTATTTCCTGTTAAGAACAAAATCAAATACTGTTTCCTCAATAAACAATTTTGAATATGAAACATTGCAAATTTTTCAGCCTTCCAGTCTACCAAATGATATTTCAGTATTTTAAATCTTATGCTTCAAATCCATCACAAATTATAACCTCAAAGGAATAATAGTTACACGCTATAATATCTATCCAAAGACATACATAAAGTCTGAATTAGAACAAAAAATTGAACATGACTTCCCAGGCTAAAGGTCTATCCCTTCATGACTTTAATCTTAGTGTGCTGTGGAGCATTGGGAGATGGTATTTGGACAAATATTTGGTGAGATGTGAAGTTACGCTCCCAGCGTTTTTTCTCATGCAGCATACAGGAGGAACTTGGATGTGTTTCTGAAACTGCTTAATCCCAAGGAACTCCTGAAGAAGTGGTAATTTTCTACGTCTCAGCTTGCATTCATAATGTTTATCAGCTTCATCTGTATGCTTAAGAGCCTGCTTTGTCCAGAAACTGACATACTCATGCACTTGTGAAGAAAGCAGATGAGAACAACGTCCTCTGTATGCATTTTAATTGATATTTATGGTACTCTATAATAATAAAAGCAATTTCAGTAGTTAGCCAACCTTGTAAACTCATGAGCACAAAAACACTAATAGCACTAGACATCTCGCATTTGATTTTCTAAAAATCTTGCTATTGTCATTCTAAAGTAGCACAGAAATAAGCCTAACAGAGAGATCTTTTAACGCTGCAAGTACATAATAATGAATGCTATCTGCATTTTATTGCTCTTTTTTATTAAAAAAAAAAAAAATTCAACTACTACTAAAACCAACAAATACATCAATGTAGGACTGAACTTGATGCTATGACCTAGTTACACTTACATAGCTTAGTGAAGAGGTAGCAGCTAAGTGTACAGAGCAATATAGATTAAAGTAAACTGCAGGAACCTCAGAAATGCTTTCAGTAACAGAGGAACCTATCAACAGCAATTACTTGGAACCTTGAAGCATCAGCTGCCAAGATTTAGGAATCATATATGTGGGCTTAGACTTATTGTAACGGTTTAAGTCTTGCTTTAAGCAACCAGATCACTTTCTGGATTTAGTTTTTCAAGACTAACACACAACACTCAAGCTCTTCAGCTGAAGCTGGATCAGGGGTAGAGGTCAGATCTGACTAAGACTCCTAAGTAACAATTCCTTGATTTCAGAGGCAGTATGGTAAGATCAGAAGAAGAATGGGCTTAAAATTGTCACTAAACTGACAGTAACTACAATTCTTCCAGCTGGAAGATTTACAGTTCAACAAATAATCATTCCAAGTTAACCACAACATTGATGTATTTGGGATGGTTTGCTTTTGCAGAACTTCCTAAGCAAAAAATAATCCTAAAGGAGTCCTCTTTTCTCTTCTCTGCTCTTATGAGTTTGACTTAAATCATCCCTCTATCAAATGTCTCCAAAAGATTATTATTTATGTTAAACTACTTATTTTTTGGATTATTATTTCAGGGTGAGACATCTGCAGATAAGTAGTTTCAGAGCAACCCTTGTCAAAGACTATATAATCTAAAAGTGAAGACCAAAGCAGTACCCAGGATAAAAAAGTAGATAAAAATAAATAACTAAAAAAATTAGAGATGATAAAGAATAAATACTTGTCAGTAGATGACAAGCAATATTCCTAGTGATCCAGCATCATACCAGCATTAACCTATATGATATTTCAGAATGAGTTTGTGTTAACATCACAAAGGAAGTGATGGAGAAGACTGTACTCATTTTTCCAGTTTTTATTAGAAGGAACTCATAAGAATGACAAGTAATGCTGAGCAAAATATGCATGACATTTTTGAGCATTTACAAGCCTATAGAGTAAGCAGAATCTAAGTCTCATTGACGAAGATTAGTCAATTAAGCTATGAAGAGTATTAAAAGTGAAAGAATTAAGGGATTGTATCCTGCAGTTCAGTGAAAGATGTCAGAAAACAAATATGTACTGCAAATTTGGACTTGAGGTGGGGATGTACATAAAAGCTTTAGTAGGAAAATGTTTCGTCTAAGGGTCATTGCAAATAACGAGTAGGTAAGACAAGGGAATACTCCTTGGCTCCTAAATTGCTTGTATTGAGGATATTTAGGTTACAAAACCGTGCCATAGACAGGAGGATATCATTTCCCACAAAGATTAAAACCAAGAAACTCAAAGAGCCAGACCAGGCAGACTAAGATGTCTAGAGCAGCTATTCTGGTAATTCGAAGAGAGATGTCAGAGAGTTCAAACTTGTTAATGTGGAAAAGAGAAAGCAGATGGTCTGTGTAGAAGCACATCTCAAAATATCAACATTCCCCAAAACAGTGAAAATATAAAGGCAAGCAGACTCCAAAAAGAAAGTTGATAAGAAAGAATGCTTAGCATGTAGAAATAATGAGAGAAATTAGAGAAGGGTTCATGGAAATAAAGAAAAGACAAAGATTAGACACAATTAACAGAATCAAGAAGTAACATTCTCTATCCTTTCAAGAAGCATATTGTCTACAGAATGAACTACACCTAATGCAAAGCTACTCATAATACAGTATATTTATTGTTTAGTTTATTTATTTACTTCCTGGAATGCAGTTTGGCAGCAAGAAACAAATATCCAGAGCAAATTCTGTGACTAGATTTAATTTTGCTCTATGAGCCAGTGAAATACAAACCTGAAAAGCCTTTGGTTCAAAAAGTATTTATGAAGATACACTGTTACGTGACTTTTGTCCTGTGTTCAGTTATACAGATATGAATTTGATTTTTTTTCTATTTTTAACAGTCTTTAATGATAATGGATCCCATCAAATGTCTGTAACTGGGCGAACAGAATTCACTCACTCAGAAACATCATGACTTTCATAAACAATGGTGCATGCTTAGCATAAGGTTGAAACTCTCCTCCAGAGAGGGCTCCAACCTTTCTTTCAATCAGAGATGGCATTACCAGGATTTTATTAAATGATATTACTAGATGCACACTTTGCTGTCAACACCTGACAGAGTTCCTACTGACATCGATTTTACAGTATAAATAGATACACTTCTGTGTGAAATGGCTTTTGAAGGTCTACTACAAGAGGGAGCGACTGTAAAGCTTTAATAAAATAGGCTCCAGGGAGATGCAAAATAGTAGAAGCTAAAAAGAGACTGATTATGGGAGACCTCACAAACATGGAGAAAGAAAGTATTTTGGGAATATCAAAAAGACAGCCTGAACACCAAGACCCAGCACTAGAGATTCACTGTTAAGAAATGTTCCTTATGCTTATCACTGATATCTGAAAAGGCAGAGTCTTTTGTACAGTAAAGCACTTACTCTTTCATTTACTGTTTCCAAGTTTCACTCCATGTTCAATCATTTTCAAGGCATTTAAAAGTCCAGATTTTTTAAAGAAATGTTCCAAATAATTTCTCTAAGGAAAAGTATTAAATCTCAGTTTTCACCAACAAGGAAGCTTAAGGTGAACTTAATTATCATCCCCCAGAAGCAGCAGTATTACTTGCGTGTTTAGCAATTCATTGCCATAGAGCGAAACTGCACAAGACAATTTTGCTTTCTGAAGTGAAAATACAGTAAGGACTGAATTTTCCTTCTTTATTTTCTTCTCTGGAATTTTTCATTTTTTGAATGGTGCTGCCCAATTGCAGCAAAAACAGTTTGTCAAAGACTAACTTTTAGATACCTTGACAGTAATGGTTTGCACGTTGTTTATCCTGGTGGGACCAGAGACATGCTGCTCCACTGCTCTCCTGGATTCTTTCACAGTTACCAGAATAAGTGAGTAGGATGTGAGAATTACTCCGCAGGGGAGAACAAAGCAGAAAACAAAAAGAACGACAGTGTAAGACATGGACATGACTTCTACATTGGTGGATTGCCAGTCAATGCAGCAAGCTGTGCCATAGGGCTCCTCTCCATATTCTCCCCAGTGAGCAAGGGGTGAACAGGCAAATATTGCTGCATAGGTCCAAGCACAGGCTATCAATATTTGTCCGTGTTTTCTCCTGAACCTGTTGCCTGGAAGACACAAAACAATCAGTGAAGACCAGCACACAGCAGTACTGTAAGCTCCAGTTAACTGAACAAGTCAAAGGTCGATTGAGAGGATCTTGTATTGCCCACTGGACATTTCCTTTTTTTCTTTTTTCCTTCTCTCAGGAATAATACTCTGTAACCTACAGAATGCTTCTCAAAATATTGTCTGCAAAACAACTAAGCACAAGTAATTGATCCACAGAGTACACCAGCCATTACACTAAAAGAAACTCTCATTCTTTTTTCTATCTGAACAAGATGTCAGGGAGGGTTTTTGTTTTAAACACAAAATTCAAGCATTTTGAAGAGCACAACAGTACAATGAAGCCTTGCTATACAAGTAGAACTCACAGTGGACTGCAAACTTCAGAGTCACAATATGACTGGACCAAGACTAAGATAAGTTTTGGTATTTTTTTGGACACGACTTTCAGAGTCTTTACAAGAAGTGCATATCAGGACTACTTTTTTTTAAATAAGGAAGCAGGACAAAGGTGTAACAGTACCCTCCATTGAAACAGTAGTTTAGAAAAATAAAACTCTCAGCAGAAATGTATTTATTTCCTGACTTAGGGTTAATATTATTAATAATGCATACCTTTGGGAAAAGAAAAAATGAGTTTTTACTATAACAACAGATCTTAAAGATTTGTGTGAATGCTCTAAAGAAGACTTGGTTTCTCAGGTCATGCTTCCAAATTTACACACACACTATTTAAAAAAAAAAAAAAAAAAAAAGGCATGTCTTAAAAAACTATATGGAAACACTGCTGAAATCTGAGCTCTTGAGAAATGTAAAAGATATAAATAAATATATGAAGATATTTACTAAAACAGAAAAATACTTAAATGCAAGTCTGTACTTGAAGATTGACCTATGCTGTGCTGAGAAAGCAAGTGGGTAAATGTGACAATTAGATTGTCTTTAAATCACTATTAGCTCTACATTTCCCTACCTGCAGCTGCTTGCTTCTCAACCACAACAGAGGGCCTCACTGTAACAGATAAGCAAAAAGTATTACCCCTAAAATGTAAGACTTACGGAACATGAGGGATGTGTTGCCAGATGAATGGTGTACCAGAAAAAATTAATCTGTAGCAGTATTTTATTTGATCCAAATTGTTCAGCTGCTAAATCAGCATTTAGAATTCCTATGATCCGAATTCCTCAGATGCTCAAAACCATTAACCAGCTAGCACTTTTAAGTAACTCAGTCTGTCTGCCAAAACTCACTGATCCTTTTAGTCTGACTTTTTATTGATTGTGAAGTTCTGTTAAAAAGTAAGGATGTTATTTGGAATAGAGGTTGGCAGAAAGAGGAATAGCACCAGTTGTTATATCAACATAAATCTAAATGAATAAATATCTAAATGTAGCAATGAACTCTGAAAACATTCATTTACTCAGGCTAGCCCTGCTTTCAGCTCAGAACTCATTTCATGCCACCAAATTGACACCCAGAATTAAAAGAGATTTAGAGTGATTACTTGCACATATAATTATGCAAGATGGGCAATAGCTGTTATAGTTAGATCTTAATGATCAGAGGAAAAACGCATTGTTTGACCAGATGTAAAAGAGCTCTGCTATAAAAGTAGTCTCTAGGATACAAAACTTGGAAATGATCATCTATGTTCACATGAAAAACGGAGATCTTAGACAAAAACAGTAACTTACCATAAGCTGGAAAGCAAATTTTGAGGCAGCACACAACACTCAGTAATGTCAGTGTCGACAGACTGCAGATCCCAAAGAACACCCCACAGAATGCATAGAACAGGCAAATGTGTTTCCCATACAACCACCTAGCAAATAAACATGAAATTGACAGTTAGATGCTATCCTTCTTTTTCAAGCATAATACAAAATTGTAGAAATACATTTACAGCTGTTTTCTTAAAAATAAATAAATAAGCTTGCATTATCAAATTATTTGCTGATTGGTAATCAACTGCAGAAGAGGCTCTCAGTCAAAAAATCTTACAGCCAGCACAGTGGTCACATCTTCCCTTAGTATTATGATTCACACTTAAGCCTTTTTATTTTTAAGAAACAAAGCACTGTTTTAATTATAAAGATTCTGAAAAAAAATATATATATATCAAACTTCTCATCATAGTAGGCCAAGGTTATAAGTTAATACTTCTTTAGGTATTTTTTTAATATTTATGTTTCATCAAACCAACAGATTTTGTTGTGAAGGTTTTCCAGAGGAAGAGGAATTTGATCTGAATCACTGCATCTCCTCATTTTCTACTCAGAAATACACAAGATTTGTGGTATTAGTAATCAAAAGTTTGTGAAGACAGACTCCACTTAGCATAATTAGCAATATATTTACCAAGCTTTAAAGAAGATCACAAAAATCAGATGTGTAACAGTGATTGTTGATTGAATTCATGTGGATAAAGAGGAAAGAAGTGGGAAAGGAATTGGAAAGTTCTAGATTCAGAGTGTTGGCTTAAAATATTTTTAAATTTAGGCATAACAAATACATTCCATTTTATTTTCATGCTACCAAATTTTACTGCACAAATTAAGAGGAGAAAAAAAAAAGCATTTCACCATCACTGCCCATGAAGAATAAATGCAGTATGTAGAGGATGCTTAGAACAAAATCTTTGCAGCCTCTCAACCCTGCAGAAATCCAGATGACAGTAATCTCAAATAGATATGAACATTAACACCAATAGCCCACATATCTGCCACTAACATAGCATACTTCTCTCAGTCTCTCCAGTTAATTTCAACTATTACAAGAGAAGTAGCAGAGTAATTTAGTCTTCCTCGCAGGCACAGACCTCCAAAGCCTGCAGAGGGTGTTAAATATCTCGTGCATAGTGAACAAACCTGTGTGAAAGGCTGGAGGTTACAGCTAGTGGGTACAATGTCAGTGTCATTGCAAGGTCACTGATGGCAAGATTAATAATGAAGTATTCTGCTGGTTTCAACAAATGTTTTTTCTTGTAGGAGACATGAAGGAGAATACTGTTCCCACACAAGGAGCATATTCCTGCAGAGAAACATACAACAAGGATTTAGAATTGACTGTAGAATCTAAAATTGAACTAGCTTGGATATAAGGAAAAAGATTTTTATGGTAAGGGCAGTGAAGTACTGGAACAGCTTGCCCAAAGAGACAGTGGATGCCCCATCCCTGGAGACGTTCAAGGTCAATGTAGCTGCAGATGTCCCTGTTCTTTGCAAGGGAGTCAGACCAAATGATCTTCAAGGGTCCTATCCAATTCAAACAATTCTATGAAACATTTACTTCATCCATCTTTTATTTTCCTGCACAGGAATGATGTATTACCACAGCCAGCATAGTTAGCCATTGTAGTTATTTATTAGATTAACTTGTCTCCTTTATTACGTTTGTGACTGTCTCGTCTTTATATTTCAAATATTTTTAGAAATTCCTTACTATCCTTCCTGTTTTATCTAATCTATCTACAGAGAGGTAACCAATAGTATGAGAGTGGCCATAGGTCTTTAATTGAATTTTATCCACTAAATGACCTGTCAAAAAATGCTTTACTATTAAGTCGGAGATGTTACTCAAGTGATGCTGCTAGTGTTTCCCCAGTTTCAGGTCTACAGTTGTCCATCTGGTAGCCCTTCCTTTCTCTTTTTGAGACCTCTCAGAGGTGCCTGTTATGGCTTCTAGTAGTAACAAATAATACAGCAAGAATTTTGATTAATACATGAAAGAGAAAAATGTAGTTAAGTAATGTTTTTACTAAGTGCAGATGCAACAATTTTCTCTGGGTGTAGCACTTCCAGTAGGAGACTGCCAAGAAACTTAAGAAAGCTACAAATAGACAACAGAGCTACAGCATTAGACAAGAGAGGACAAGCAACTCACTCCTTACCTTTAAAGTACCCACTAAAACCTATGAAATTTAGACAATTTCGGAAGATGAGAGAGCAGTCAGAAAGCAGAATTTCAGGCATGCCTAGTGAACTGAAGGATCCTATCATTAATATAGCGTAAAGTTAAGCCACTGAGAAGAGCCCAAGTGCTTTTGTGGACTTGTTTGTTCTGGCTATGGAAAAAATATCGTTTTACCTGTAGAATGCAGGTAAGCATAGATACAGAAATTGAGTTTAGCAAGTTGCCTAGATACCTACAGCACAAACCATTGGCTCTTTATACATATAAGAGAATATGCCTCATTTAATGACACTTTCATAGGAAAAAGTTAAGTAATTTCCAGAAGTTCTATAGACTATGATATTTTCTTTTAAATGAAATGTCAGACTAGCATGTTAGGCAGTGATTCTGAATTCATCTCCATTGCTGGTCTCTTTAAGCCATTTCTTTTGAATTCTAATTCTGAAACTGTGCAAAAATTTTGCAAATAAATTTATAACAACATTTTTGCTGGTGTCAGCAAACAGATCCAAGTATTCAGTCAGAATCAGGACACTTTCTGTAGTCTTATAAATGCACTGTATCTGTTTTTTAAGCTCTTTGGAGCTTCGACATGGCTGACAGTAGATGCTGGGGGAAAATCTGACAAGTGACTCAGCAATCTGGATGTGGTTGTTTGCCACGGGATTCAGAAAAAGAAAGTTTAAAAGAAAGTTATGAGGAACACCATGTTGCATGAGTAGCTGCGCACATATGAGGGAGGAGGTACATGGTGTGGGTACAGATGAAATCTTAGCTACTTTAACAGGCAGTTATTTGTTGTTGATATCAAAAATTGAAATAAAGCTACATCAGAAAAATTCAAGTATCTCTGGGAGAAGAAATAGAGTATGATATTTCTGCTGGAAAATTACTTTATTGTTAGCTGAACTAGCTCTGCAAACTCAGGAATGCAAACACTTCAAGAACTTCTCCCTCTAAATTGATCTACATTGTTCAGACAATTTCCCCTTGAAGTCAACTGTCAGCACACATCTACAATCTAACAGGAGTAAGGCTTATATTCACTTTTCATTATTGAAAGAACATACCGAAGAACTTGCTAATATTTGAAACCATTAAGATGCCGATATTCATTGACAGCTGATAGGGATTAAAAGTCACAGATTCATTTTTTGTTGGCATATTTGTCTTGTATTTGTCCCGTATTTCAGGGTTGATATTAGTAGCATTTTTTTCTTTCCTATTAAGGCATTCATTTAACTTCTACATATTTTTTCACCATCTTGCAGAGCACCAGACAGTAGCCATGCTTTGTGTCCTTAGCCAAGGGGTCAGTCATTGCTCTCCAGATGTTGGGGTTGCCTTTCCTTTCCTCTGACTCATGGTTTATTGACCAATACCATTAGGATTAGATCTGAATTTGTTTTCCTCAATTGGACCGGGACAATGGAGGAGAGATTTGCTTCCTCTGTAAGAGCAGAGCCCATTTCCCAGAAATCTCACTTTCTAACTCAGTGTCTGTAAACACTGGCCATAAGCCTGATCTTTCTGGCACCTTATTCAGGCCCATAATGACTACAGCTTTTGCTATTTTACTTCAGATACTATAAGGAGTCAGGACACACTGTTCTTTGTTTTGCAACAAGGTGTGGAAAATGAAAACTCTCATTTAGATGCAGTGACAGTTATGCAGATACCAAAAAATGCCAGTCTCAAAATCTAGCATTCCCGTTCAGTTTTATACACCTAACATTGAATACAATTTTTTTTCCTAAAACAAAACAAAGGATAAAAACTTCTTAATTATGTTACTCTGTGCTTTTGCCCCCTTATAGAATACAGAGAAGCTTGTCTCTTGTCAGAAACAAATCTGACTTCCAAAGTTGTTTATTTCTCTTTGTTGCACCAAACATAACAAAAGTTCTATAAACATATGTACCATAAAATCAGGCTTACCGAAGACCACATAACACGTTCCAACAACAATATCAGCTGTTTCTGTTATTTTGGACTGGAATGTTGAATTAGCAAAAGATGGGTCCATCTGAAAACAAAAAAAAACAAAACAAGATATACTATTAGAAATGCAGTAGAAAAGCAAATATCTGCAAGCTCTCTATAGGGCTATAAGCTGTCCTCTGCATAAAGGACAGGAAGAATTTCATTTTATTTTTTGAATTAGCAGTTAATTTACCTAAATAAAGGTTTTGAGGAAGACAGAGCCAGGCTCCTTTCAGTGCCAGGACAAGAGGCAATGGGCACATATACAAGAGGATCTCTCAGAATGTCAGGCAGCACTTCTGTGCTGTGCAAGTGACGAAGCACTGGCACAGGCTGCCCAGAGGCTGTGTGTGGGCTCTGCTCCTCAGAGACCTTCAGCAGCTGCCTGAACATGGGCCCCTGCTCTGGTGTCCCTGATGGAGAGGTGGTTGAGTCTGATGGACTCAGAGGGCACTGCCAGCATCAGCCTGTCTGAAATCACAGATGAAATCACAGCCAAGAACTGATGCCTAGATAAACACATTTCAGTTAATTTGAAGGCCTCATCTATATTTGAGATCATCACAATAACACAGCTGCAAATGGTAAAAAGTGCCTTATATATATGTAAGTACTTGTATAAAGTCTTCAGAAAGGAGGCTGTGTCACAAGTCAGTGGGATCTGTTCAACTTTCCCAACTTTGCAAAGACAGTTATACTGATGAAAAAGAGCTTCTGTCAACTCTATTCATGATGGTCTGAGAGACACACTGGCATAACTCAGAAAAATGCCAGAATTAACATCTTCTGTCATCTGTTATTCCCATATTCCCTTAAGTAGTCTGCTGTGGGGTCAGCCCTGTGACCCAGTCCAGACTTTTCTGCCTATGTGAAGTAGCTCAGTGCCAGAGGGAGGGCACTAACTTCTGTACTGCAATACTCGTGCTAGAGGCAGACTCAGCTCTTAGATGCTCTCACAAACAGGGTTTAACATACCATGTAATTCAGTGGAAAAGACCTAAGACAAACATTTCTAGCACAATATGTAGTTATAGTTATATATATATGTGTGTGTGTTTTCTCACAGGCAGGTTATTCTCCCTATGGTCCCATCAGTTTTTTTCCCACACAACCCCCTATTTCCTCAACTGCCCTAATCCAGGGCACTCCTATTACTGACAACAAAGGGCTACATATTTCTTCACCAGGTATTCCACCATGAGGAATGTTAAGCCTACTGCTAACACCACAGAAGTTTATACTCTAATCCTTTTGCCAATATTTATTCCATTCACTAAGCAGAAACAGGAAGATTTCACGTCATAAGCCTCATTGTTTCCTAGTGGCCAGTGCTGCTGCATGTGACTGCCCTCAAGAGACAGCAACTAAAATAGCAATGGGACGTTCAGCTGCTGCTTCCCTGAGGCAAACTCTTCGCAAGGAAAAGCCAAGCTCCTGACAGACATTACTACTACGTTTCCAATGCTTTATCCTATCAAAGCAATCTTGATATTTAGTAAAAGGAAAAGCAGTCTACCCTATAAAACACAATTCTTCAGCTAATTATGAACTCTTGAAAACTACTGAAACTCTAGGTTTTCCATTGAGCTATGCTCGTTCATCAAAGCTAGATACTCTTAGATTTTATTCATATTGCTTCTATCACAGCAATACAGACAACAAAATCACACACTGAGAAAAAGAGAGTTGTCTTCAAAGTGTGCATCCCTGGCTGGGCTGAGGCAGAGCAACATTTAAGCCACAACACTAACGTAAAGAAGGAATAGAAAGACATTTTAAATAAAATCATACCTCCTTGGGATGAATGAAGCCTTTTAAAGTGTGAAATCCCAAGCTCAAAGTCTCCATAAACCTATCCTCTTAAGCAGTATCCAAGCATCTGCCTTCTTGACAACTTTTACAGTAATTTTGAAATTAGTTACAGTGATTAATTTTGCACATCAGCAGTCAACAGCTCTGAGGGGGTTTCAGAAAGAGGGGCTCTGTGGAAAAAGAAAAAGCATCACTTTCAGAAAATGTGGATGAAGCCATCTTCAAAGAGGAACTGAAGAAAGAACAGATCTGCATGCTAACTGCAAGAACCAGTTGACACTTTCTTACATGCTTTGTATGGCAGAAATGTTATGTGCTGGAAAGCAGCAACAAGATTTACTGGCTTTTTTTTTGTTTGTTTGTTTGTTTTTTGTCTGAGTTTATGATCTACATAATGATAATTTGGAAAAAATACCCAGATTTTTTCCCTCCATCCCTCACCAGCTAGATTGACTTACCACACAACAGTTGTGAATTTAAACACTAAATGAGCTCCATTAAACTTCTGATAGCATGCTAATTACATAAACCAACTAACAACTAAGGCATCTGCATTCAATGAATCAATTTCAATAAAATGGTCCTTAAGTAAACTATTGTCACTGTGCTTAAATGCCATAAATCTTTTGTTTTCTCCCTTCCAATAGTCTTTTCTTGACTTCAAATACTCTATCCTCAATAAATCACATTTTCCCTACATATTCAATGATTTTTTCTCTTCCCCCATGCTATACATATTATCACAAAATGCTAAGCAAAGCATGATAAGTATTCATCAGTTTGCACAGCTCAGCAGGACGAGGTTAAAACCAAAAGATGAAGAGATTTTAATAACTTATCATTAAACATAAATGTATTTGTGGTAACTGGTAGGTATTATTTCATATCACTTAAAACAAGGAGCATACAAAGAGCTTTATCAATAAACATAACAATATTTTGGGTTTTTTTTTTTGTCATGGCTATACCGACAAAGACTTTGGATTTTGTAATGTAACTTTGTAAAAATGCATTACACTTTGCTCGTTTGTGTGAATAAAGATTTCTGGTTGCAAATTTCTATTCACTAATTTTGGTCGCCCCTATGTTGCCATTGCAGCTGCAATCATAATGTGAGCTGGCTATGCATGCATGCATGGATGCACCAAGATTCCATCATTATTCAGCCTTATGGGGAATTCTCTTGGAAATCAACTTGTTTTTCACTCTGATTATAAAAAGCCATCTTTTTGCAGCCCAGGATTAAAATCATACTCATCTCCAACATCATGTCAGTCCACTGTCTATAAATAACATTTGCTGGAAGGGCTAATTAGAAGTCAGAGAGCATTGTGTCATGTGTGCAGTAGATTATCCATGAATGTATGAAGGCTAGATCTGCCAGAAAATACAAGGAAAATCTGATATTACAAATCAATAATATTTTTTTTCTTAAATTGTCCAGTGCCAGCTAATATGCCTCCATTTGTCCTTCTAACAACATTAAAAGCATCCGTATGAATCAAATACATTAAAACAAATAGAGGTCTACAAAGAGAATGACCACCTACATACGTCTGAATGAAGTGTGGCAGAAGGAGAAATCCCTAATTACCAGTACAGAAACACTGCTACTTTTCCAGACACAGAAAGTAAAGAAAATCTGATAATTAGTAAGTAAGAACAAATGAAAATAGAGGCAAAAGCTGTTGTGTACTTCATGATTAGAGTAATCTCTATATTCCCTATTTAAACCAAAATCTAAGTCTTACCATGGACTTCCCTATACTAAGATGTTGTCCTACATTCAGATTTATAAGCGACTTCATAAAAGACCTCTCATAAGAGGTCACAGGGAGTCGTACAACAAGATCACTGTATGATGCAAACAATTGGACTTGACAAAATTAAACCAATCACCCAATCCTCACCAAGTCATTTAGAGGATTAGCTGGGGAAGGATGCAATAATTTGTTTTCACCATTTGTCTAGCTCCAATTTCCAGCACACCAACTTCCACATCATCACAAAATGACCAAAGAGAATTTTCCCTTAACCTCTCCATGGCAATTTAAATAGAATGAAATTAGGATAGACTCTATTCCTATTCCAGAAAACTCATTTCATTGACATAAGCTGAAGCTCTGGCACTCCAGAATTTGGCCTTTCACTACAGTAGGCTAATCCATTATCAAAAATTTCTTGAGATTGACACCATATCCTTGGAGTGCTGTGGCTACCAACCTACATTTTTAATACCACCTAATGCTGCCTTATTATTAACTCTACGCTCTAGGTTTCCTCTGGGAAAATACATCTGATCAAAATCCTTCAACTTTCAAAATCAGCAGAATGCATGAGCTCTTACTTCTTCCAGGATCACCAATGGATATAAAGTATATTAAAACAGGCAATGCAGTGCTATCTGCAGACCATGCAGGAACTGACCCTGTCACTTTGAGGTATTCTGCCATTTCTTTCCGACCTCAAAACGCTTTCTGTCCTTAATTTTACACAAATACAAATAGCCATCTAGCTTGGAAAATGATATGGAATTTGCCACCTGCTTCAAATCAGTAGCTGGTAAGAATCATGAAATTAATTACAGCTGATCAGAGTAGAGGCACAAAGGGGCACACACCGGGCTATTCCCCAAATTCTTTTCACATGGGGGTCCTCAGTGCAGAGGCCTCAGGTCACACTCTCATTCGGATACCAAAGGGATAATACATGCCAAAGGATATACTGTTCCCATGTGTAATTCCTCTTCTTGTAGTGAATTTGTCACTTTTCACATAACGGCGACAAAAGGGAACTGCTAAGCTTAAATGTGAGCATCACAGCTCCCTAATCAACACACACATCTAGATGCAACAGCAACATAGATACATCATAGAGTTCACTGAGTTACACAACGACTGTGTCACAAACCTTAAAATACTTTACCAGCTCACAGACCAAGCTTTGAAGTTGCAAAATACCATCTCTACAAAGCACACATCCCATTTCTTATAAAACAAATTGTTCTTAGCAATACACTTCTCTAGTGCTGTCTGAAATCCTCACCCATTCAGAGGGGTTACATCGAATTTTCCTTTCTGAGTTGCAATGTAACACTATCACAGTAACAAGAAAGTTTACACTTCAAGTTCATTGGAGACACAAGCTCAGAAGCCCCCAAAGTTTCCATTGAACAAAACAATGCTTTGTTTGAGGAATAAAAGTGCAGTCAGTCAGAAAATTTCACAACTG